GCGGGCCTCTCACTGTTGTGGCCTCTCCCGTTGCGGGGCACAGGCTCCGGACGCGCAGGCTCAGCGGCCATGGCTCACGGGCCCAGCCGCTCCACGGCATGTGGGATCTTCCCAGACCGGGGCACAAACCCGTGTCCCTTGCATCGGCAGGCGGACTCTCAACCACTGCGCCACTAGGGAAGCTCCATCATCTTGTCTTTTAAAATTTGTTCTAGCTTCAGTGTTCTCTGATTCTTGATAATTGAAATAAATTACACTGAACTGTTCTGGATGAATTCAAATTTTGTTCTTGAACACTTTTTGTAGAAGCCATCTAAAGTATAAAATATTTTTGTAATTAAAAACTCTACTTTTGAAGTGTCAGATTCATTGTTTTGTCATATAGCCATCTAAAAGATTTATTTTGTTTGTACGCCCTTCAGAGTTTTCTGACTTTTATTGGCTATCTGTAATGCTCTGTTTGACTGATGGAAAGGACCGTTTCAGGAGAGTTTCTTTGAACAGGCTTTTAATTTCTTAATTTGTAATATACCTGTAACAGATGGTGCTGTTAGTTGCAAAATAATTTGAGTAATAACATGTCTCTCTTTAGAGTTTGTTTTTCATTTGTTTTAGTCCATAAAAGTGAGTTTGAGTTGGTATATACAAAATTAAGTTCTTTGTGTGTTTATAATCTAGTGCTGTTCTGTGGATGCTTATAAGAGACAAGACAATGAAAGAAAATTCATCTTTTTTCCCCCCTCCTTTGTAGATTCGTTTGATAATGAAGGCCCATTCATTTGTCAGAGAGAATGTGCCTCGGGTACTCAATTCAGCCAAGGAGAAATCAAGTATGTAATTCCATAAGTCAAAGGATTATTCACAGGGTATTTCAACCTTTGGTGTTTACTGGGATGGCATATTACATTCTGTAGACATTTATGTTTGATTTTAAATACAAGGATCCAAAAAAAAAAGAAAACTGTTGGGAGGGGAGGAAAAAAATGTATATATGATCTGAAAGACCTTCTCACTGTTTCCTGATTGTTCCTTTTTACCTTTGGTCCCCTGAATTTAAAACATTGATAATTAGACTCTTGCAACTTCTGCGTTATTTGTATAGAATGTTAATAGAGTCATTACACCCCGTGTGCTTACTTTTCTTGAATTGCTGCTTTCTGTAGAAGTTATGTCTAAGTCACAGGAGTAACTTAGTTTAGAGGGATTGGTAATATTCAATTAATTTAGGAAAAAGAAGTCATCATTTTGGGAGAGCAGGAAGAAACAACATGAGCTAAGGAGAGGTAGCTTTTTGTCTTCCCTATTCTGTGCTTATTTTCCTCTTTGAGTTTTGCTGAAAGAAATTGAAGAGCCTCCAGTCTAAGCATAGTTTTCCTTTTCCAGGCACTGTTCCAGTACCCACAGTCAACCAGTACTTGTACTTCTTATTTGCTCCTACCCTCATCTACCGTGACAACTATCCCAGGTAATGGCATTATGAAGGAGAAATGGGGTAGCACCAGGAGCGTGCCAGGAAGGAGGTGGGGTAGTAGACCAGTTCATGTAGGGCTACAGAGCAGTTGGAATGGGTTTTAATTTTCTTGCTGGCATGGGAAACCCCAAATCGTGATTCTAGCAATCTGATTTGATTTCAGTCATTCTTGACAGAATTGTACAAGTATTTCCTATGTCAAAAATGATGTTCTGGGGGCTTCCCTGATGGCGCAGTGGTTGAGAGTCCACCTGCCGATGCAGGGGACACGGGTTCGTGCCCCGGTCTGGAAGGATCCCACATGCCGCGGAGCGGCTAGGCCCGTGAGCCATGGCCGCTGAGCCTGCGCGTCCGGAGCCTGTGCTCCCCAACAGGAGTGGCCACAACAGTGAGAGGCCCGTGTACCGCAAAAAAAAAAAAAAAAAAGAAAGATGTTCTGTGTGGGAAGATACTGTGAGGACCTTTTTTAAAGTTCGTTTATTTACTTTATTTAGAGAGTAATTTTGTTTCTTCCATTTTAGGACTCCCACTGTAAGATGGGGTTATGTGGCTATGCAATTTGCACAGGTAAATTTTTTTTTGTGCCTAAGGTTTGTTGGCTGGTGGGAGATGGGGATTTGAATATAATAATAATTTAATATATTTAAAGTGTTGTTTAATTCATGTCTCCTGGGAGCTCTAGAACTCTTTTTTAAAAAATTTATTATTATTTATTTATTATTTATTTTTGGCTGTGTTGGGTCTTTGTTTCTGTGCGAGGGCTTTCTCTAGTTGCAGCGAGCAGGGGCCACTTTTTCATCGCGATGTGTGGGCCTCTCACTATCGCCGCCTCTCTTGTTGCGCAGCATAGGCTCCAGACGCGCAGGCTCAGTAGTTGTGGCTCATGGGCCTAGTTGCTACTAGGGATGTAGTGGGATCGCAGCATGTGGGATCTTCCCAGACCAGGGCTCGAACCCGTGTCCCCTGCATTGGCAGGCAGATCCTCAACCACTGCACCACCAGGGAAGCCCTAGAACTCTTACTGAAGTCTTTAAACTATTCCCAGTTCAGTAAATGGTGTTTGCTTTGTCAATACACCAAAACTAATTTTCTACAATTGAAAAAAAAAATTTTTTTTAAGTCAAATAATTCCATTTGGTTACTTCAGTATGCATCTACATTAAATTCCCCCTCCCGTTCTGTTTTTTATTTTATTTTTGGATGTATATCTGTGTGGATGTGGTATGACACTCCCTCAACCCCTTATCAGAATCATAAATCCCAGAAGATCCCATTTTAAAATCTTGTGTCAATCAAATACCCATTTATGAAATAGGTTCTTTTGTTATGAGTTTCATGTAGCAGGAAAAAGAGATTCCAGAGTCTGATCTTTTAAAAATGCCATTTGGTAAAGGGTTGGGAATAGGTATGGTAGAAATTAGGCTTGAGTACTATCTCTGAAGGATTACAGTTCGGCAATCTTATATACTGGTGTTAAATGGAATATATGTGTAAACGTTAGTTTACAGGTCACATATATATGTTCTTTTGAAGGAAAAAAATCACTTTTTATCGCTCCTGATCAAGCTGTCTTTATTATAATTATCTTTGTTGTGTTCCAGGTTTTTGGTTGCTTTTTTTATGTGTACTACGTCTTTGAAAGGCTCTGCACCCCCTTGTTTCGGAATATCAAACAGGAGCCCTTCAGCGCTCGTGTTCTGGTCTTATGTATATTTAACTCCATCTTGCCAGGTAACATGGGTACTGGTTAATTTGGCTGTTCATAAAGTTGCAAGGAAAATAGAAAGCCATTGCATGTGAGCACCTTTGATTTACCTGCTTTTCGCTATAAACTCATCTACGCATCTATACCCATCTTTAACCTCTTTCCATCTATCTGACAGATGAAGCATCCTTCCAGTCCCTGGCCAATCTTTCCGTTTGTCTTCTTTCACTCAAGTTTTGCTTTCTCTGACTGTGGATAGTCTGTATTCATGCTTTATCTTCCCGTTCACTATTCAGTCACTGTAATCTTGCTCCTAATCTGACCAGGCCATTGAAATGGCCTTTATTAAAATCTCTAATCTCCTCCAGTAGTTGGCTTAGCCCTTATTCTGTTTGATCTCCGTGAAGCATTGGGTGCTGTTGACCACTTTTTTTTTTTTTTGCGGTACGCGGGTCTCTCACTGTTGTAGCCTCTCCCGTTATGGAGCACAGGCTCCGGACGCGCAGGCTCAGCGGCCATGGCTCACACTCCCAGCCACTCCGCGGCATGTGGGGTCCTCCCGGACCGGGGCACGAACCCGCGTCCCCTGCATCGGCAGGCGGACTCTCAACCACTGCACCACCAGGGAAGCCCTGTTGACCACATTTTGAAGTCTGGCTTGCCACTCTCTTTTTCTCCTGTCTTTCTGGCCATACCATACATAGCAGTGAACCAGACATACCTACTCTTTATTCTCTGGAAGCTTTGCAGTTTAATTATATTTACAGTTTCCTGTACTTACTCTTTCTCTTTCCTCTACCCATTAAATGTTGGTATTGTTTTCTGCCATCATGTTCTTTCTTCCTCTCCCTCTCTCCCAGACATCTGCTAGTAATCCTCCCTGATTGCCCCTCAAGATTTACTCCAATAAATTCTTTTATCTGTCCCTCTGATGGGATATGTGTTACATATGTGTGTCTTCCTCACTAAGCTGCAAATTCCATAAGCTCATAGCCAGTCATAGTCTCTCCTACATTGTCTTATACATAGTAGGCTAATATTTTTTGAAAAAACAAGTGAATGAAAAGGATGGGCATGTAAATGGGTATTTTAAAATATAGTGTAATATATAATATACTAAGGTGCTGTTGAACTTTGTCTCATAGTGGAGATGACATTTAACATTGGGTATTGAAAAATAAATAGGCATTTGCCGGGCAGAGAGGTGGTGGAAAGTTGCTTCCAGGTAGTGGGATGGATTCAAAGGCATGGAGTATTTTGGAATGGCAGAAGTTCAGTTGCGGATGATGTTTGCTACATTGGGAGTAGAGGCAGAGATAAGTTAACCTTGTCACTATTGACATTTTGGGCTGGATAATTCTTTCTTTGGGGGGCTGTCACGTGCATTGTAGGATATTAGCCACGTCCTGGCCTCTAACAACTAGATATCATAGCACAAGGCCTGCTTCTTGAATTGTGATAAACAAAAATGTCTCCAGCCATCTCCTGGGGGCAAAATCTCTCCCAGTTTTAAACAGCTGGTTTAGAGGAATACACGGCCAGATTTTAAAGGGCTTTTACCACCAAGTTAAGCCATACATCTAGGCATTTCCATTAAAAACAGGCTGGGTCATTTTTGTCTATAAAACCCACTTGGAAGAAAGTTATTTCTTTACTAGGTTAAAATAATTAACTTTCAAAATACACTCTATCATTTCTGGAATGGGTAAGCTGGAATAATAGCTTTTATTTTACAAAATAATTCCAACTAAGCAAATGACGACATATAATTAACTGATTGGTATGTGAGCTATTTGGAAAGAGTCTTAATATTGTTCATCTTATTTTTAGCTGTGCTGATACTGTTCCTTAGTTTTTTTGCCTTTTTGCACTGCTGGCTCAATGCCTTTGCTGAGATGTTACGCTTTGGTGACAGGATGTTTTATAAGGTAATGTGTACTTGGACTCATCTTCCTTTTCACATATTATTTGTGTACTCATTGTTAAGTATCTGAGCATTGTTAGCTACTAGCTTTTTAACATAAATGTTGTGAAATCGTTTTATTCCACAGGTTTTACCAATATTAAGTCTGAAATTCTATTACTGATTTAAGTGGCATAGTCTTGTCTTTTCTTCTACCTCGAAATCTGCTCCCTTAGTACCGCATTTGGTTCCTGCTGGATCCTGTATTGGTGATTACAGTGGGAAAGCAGGTGTCCAGAGGGCATTCTGAGACTTTGCTGACTTTTAATTCATTTGAAATCAGCTGTCTGGTGCTGTAGGAGTGATCTCAGCAAATTATTCTATTTAAGATTGTTGAACAGTTCATGAAGGAAGTAACTTTTCCCTCCTTTATTTTGAAAGGCATTAATTCTGCTTCAGATGGTATTCTTATACTTCCAAAGTTGGAATTAAGTTGTAGAGTAGATGCAGAGTGGTTCACAGTGTTCTGTAATCCCACCTAAAGCCCTCTAGAATTTTGTCTGTCTGTTCATGTTTTGGCAACACTCCAAGCCTACCCCTCCTTTCTCAAAGAAGCAGTGAGTGCGTGTTGCAAATTTTTTGTCTTATTCCATTGGTCTGATCTTAGAGTAAGAAACAGGATATATATAAAGGAGCACCAGGACTTGGAGGTAGCCACCATCTCACTCGTGGTACAACTTAAATTTTGCTGTCTATGATACCAGCAAACTGCTCTTGAGGGTTATCACCCTATCTAAGTCTGTGTGACCTTAGAATTCTCTCATTGTGTTTTAGCAAGGTAAGGGGGATTTACTGATTGTTATTTAGATGAACATTAGATTTAATGATTATGTTGTGTATCTTCCATCATAACTTGTGTGATAAAGAGATAGTGAACCTGGGAACTTAATCATCCATAGAACTAGGATTAATGTCACATTGAACACTAATAACCAAAATGCCTTTGAAGATTTTTCTGACATCAGTGTATGGACTAACAATTTATCATAACACACTCTAGGTGTTATATTATGTGTGTATATTCTCTGGGAGTAGGTTTTGCTTTGGTTCTGTGTATATGTATACCTTTGCTTTTTTCCTTAGGATTGGTGGAACTCCACATCATACTCTAACTATTACAGGACCTGGAATGTGGTGGTCCATGACTGGCTATATTACTATGCTTACAAGGACTTTCTCTGGGTAAGCAGCAAGATTTAGTTAATGTTGTTTAAGAAATGGAGATTCTTTTCCAGAAAGTATTACTGTTGTGCAGCTGGAGGAAGTTATACTTAGTTGTCTTCAATTCTCTTGTGAGCCGTTAATGTCTTAAGAAACCTTCTGCTTTGAATAGCACTGCTTAGAGACCAGTATCTGCAGTTACTAGGACTAAGAGCATGTTTTTGCTCTGGATTTTTATTTTACATGACGACAAAGTAAGAATGCGTGCAGGCATTTGGAGAAGTTGAAATGATCCACCAGTAATGGATCATTTTGTTGGAGTCTCATTGCCAGCAAATAATCTCCCCTAGCTTTTTCCATTTGTTTTTTTGTTTTTCTTCCTTTGTTAGAAGTGGAGAAACCACCTATGTTCGGATCTACAACTCTCCGATATAGATTATTAATATATTTCTTTGAGACATTCTTTAGAGCATAACTTATTTAGATTGAAGAAACGTAGTCTTGAGTCTCATGGTTGATTAACGTTGGTATCTCTGGATTGCAGGTTTGAATTGTTAAATAAGGGCACTATTTGGCTAAATGACAGTGTGTTGTGGTGCAAATAGCACAGTATTCGAATGTTCTTTCATTTATAAATGTAATTTGACTTGTGGAGGCAAGTCCCTTGTTTCTAAATCTTAGTTTTGTTACCTGTAAAAATGGTACCTGCCCAATCTACCGTACAATGCTACTCTAGATTTGATGGGTCCATTTAGAAATGAAAACTATGTTTTGTCAACCATAGTGAGTTACAAATATAAGTTATTAATGTTTTTGAAAATATGCTCAATCTTTCAACATTAATGGTTTTGAAAATGCGTCATTTAGTAAAGTAAGGATTTTTAAGCATAGATGTTTTTGTCATTGTTTTAGTACATTGGATTACTCCAAGTAGACTTAGAAAGTCAAATATGAATATAATAGGTGCCTTTAGTGTGTGTTAATTATGTCTTATGTAGTTCATGTTTAATTACTTACTTTCTGAAACTTGCCTCTAATATTTTCCTTTTACCCTAGTTTTTCACAAAGAAGTTCAAGTCAGCTGCCATGTTAGCTGTCTTTGCTGTGTCTGCTGTAGTGCACGAATATGCCTTGGCTGTTTGCTTGAACTTTTTCTATCCAGTGCTTTTTGTGCTCTTCATGTTCTTTGGAAGTAAGTATCTTGGCATCTCATGAGTACTGAGTATTACGCTAAAAGAAATTTAGAAAATAAAATATGAAATCAATGTAGAAAACTAGATAGTAAATAGTAATACCATTTCAAGGCAATGTTTGTTTATCAGATGGTAAGAACATTAATTTTGAGTAATTATGTACAGCTCTGTTGCAGGATGCTTACACTTTGATGTAGAGAAATGAACTAAATAAGCTCTTGAAGACTGTTGATAACACTGACTTGGTAGCTCATAAAAACTATAAACAACCTCGCCATTCTTAAACTCTGTTCAGTGTTCACCCTCTGAAAAAAACTAACCCTTTTTTGGGTGGGGTGGAGAGGGACAAATTAGAATATGAATGCGTCCATGAAATATGTTTTCACCTGTTCTGAATACTGACTGATTTCCAAATAATCACTGATTAATAAATTTAAACAGTGAAGCTTCATTTGTACTTATGGGACCAATGGCCAGCATAGAACGTGTATATACACAGTTGATGCTGTTTATGATAACTAAATGATTGTAGCAGATATCTGAGGCCCCTCATCTCCTGGTAGATTCTGTTTTGATGACTATATATATTTTTTGTTGTTTTCCTAACTTTAGTGGCTTTCAACTTCATTGCCAATGATAGTCGGAAAAGGCCAATTTGGAATGTTCTGATGTGGACTTCCCTTTTCGCGGGCAATGGAGTCCTCCTGTGCTTTTATTCTCAAGAGTGGTATGCACGTCAGCACTGCCCCCTGAAAAATGTGAGTCATCAATCAGGCTGGAGTGGTGAAGTAACCTATTTGTCCCCTGTTTGTGAGGGTTGGTGGGCAGTGTTAAGGGGAAGGGAGTAGTGGAGGTGGTGATAAATTAATGTTAAGGGGAGGGAAATGTGGAGTAAAAGCAGTAACTTATCTTACTGCACTGTCCTTGAACATTTTCTTTTCTTTGGTTTTCTTCCCATTGAACTCTGCTAGTTTCTTGGTTCTCTCTCTCTCTTTTTCTTCTCTTTATCTGATTTTTCTTTAGCTCCTTCTAATATTCTTCCTGTGCCCTGAAAATGTAGGTCTTCTCCAAGGTTTTCCCAGTGGCATGTGTATCCACCCCCACCCCCAAATATTCATCTTTTACCTCTTCCTTCCCGAAGTAATAAACTCTGTAAAAATGTCCAGCTAGACTCATATGCCTAGGAGCGTATTTCCCTTTTTTTGTTGTTGTTTTCTTGTTTGTAATTTTGTAAGAGTCTCATTCTTAGAGCTTTAGTTTTCGGCTGCTTATAGAAAACTCCCAAATATTTGGGGTGGGGGGCTTCTTGATACATCTGCTTGGGTATTTCTCACGGATACCTATAACTGAAGATGTTCAAAATCAAATTAATCAGTTTCTCTCCCAAAGTTTCTACTGTCCACCCTGATTTTGCTATGCTGCCCTCGCATCCCCTCCTTATTTCCTATGAGTCCCCTTTGTGCATTTGAACTAACTGCTCTGGACTCTGGACTCTGTCTCTGGTCACTCTGCTCTTTGCACTCAGATTTCACCTGTCAGATTTTATCAAGATCTGATTTGGATGCAGTGTCGTCCATGAAGCTTATGTATTTATTTATTTGGTTGCTTGGTTGCGCTGGGTCTTAGTTGCGGCGCGCTGGGTCTTAGTTGCTGCTCGCTGGCTCCTTAGTTGTGGCACATGGGCTCCTTGCTTGTGGCATGTGAACTCTTAGTTGCGGCATGCATGTGGGATCTAGTTCCCTGACCAGTGGAGGCTTAACCACTGCACCACCAGGGAAGTCCCCATGAAGCTTTTTAAAATTCCTGCTCTAGTCTCTTTTCTATTTCTGAACTTTCATAGTATTTCATCTGTTCCTCATTTAGATAATTCAGTAATTTAAGCTTTGTATTATAGTAATTTGTGTGTATTATCATCCTTAACCTACCACCATTTAGATTTAGGGCTACTAAAAATGGGACTGTGCTAAAACAAAATGCAAGATACAGAAAAAGGGTAGTACCTCTTTAGAATTTGGTCAGGAGTCCATGCAGTTGTGTAGAGTTTACTGGACTTAGCTTCATGTAAAGCTTCTAAATCAAGTAAATCTGTGCTATAGATAAAAATGATGAACATCTTTTGAATTAGTGAGCTGTTTATAGCTTGAAGGTTACTGAAATGCTGGGAGGCATTTTAGAGGTGTGCCGTGTGTAACATCAACACCCCCTTCTACCCCATATCTCACACGTACAGTGCACACAAATAAACTACTCTTCCATTCTTTTTTTTCCCCTCAAAGCCCACATTTCTGGATTATATCCGGCCACGTTCCTGGACTTGTCGTTATGTGTTTTAGAAGCTCGGACTTTGTTTCCTTCCTTGACTGAAGATTGGGTATTCTACCTGATTTGGGGCCAGCATCTGTTTCCAGCCGTTACTGAATTTATCTGTGTTATTTGGACCACTCCAGGCTTTACAGATGGCTCACTCCATTACTAGGTCACCTGAAGCTGAGCTGTTAGAAGCTTCCTGGAAGCTTGTACACTTTTAAGCAGTTCTTAATTTTTTCCTTTTTGGGAGAAGGGAGACTTGTAGCTGATATAATGACAGATTTTTGCTGGGTCATATCAAGCTTAAACCTCAGAAATTCTGTTTTGTTTCTTGATTGCATCTAATTAGAGACTAAACATCATGTTTTCTTGGCCACTGAATTAGCCAAAACATTGATGAAGAAATCATTTAAGTACCCCTGGCTTAGAAATTTTTTCATGTGCATTGTTGGAATGTATGCTAATTAACCATGCAATTGGGAAAGAAAATAATGTGGAATGTTTTGCTATTTCTAGTAGAGAGAAAATATCTATTTTTCCAAAGATAATCTTGTTATATATCGTAATTTGTATTTTTTTTAAAGTTCAGTTCTATTTTTATCTTGTTTTTGCTATACAGTGTAGGTCGTGGTATCTGTGAAGCAAAATTATCCCTTTCACCTTGAATTCTTGAGTTTGCATCCATAATATTATATATTGAGGGGGACAGAAGTAGGAAGGGAAAAAGAAGTAGCACAGGACAAAGAAAAATATTTCCTCTTTTAACTTCTAAAGTAATTTTTAAAAAGAACTTGCAGAGTCAATAATGTGTTTAAGTTATTTTATTGTGGAACTTATGTGGAAGATAACTTTTGTTGTTTAAACTTTCAGGTAATAACTTCTTTGAAGTTATTTAGAAGTAACCTTTGGTACAGTTATTTTATCTAATAAATACTGACATGAATTATTTTTCAGACTAGTAAGTCTGTTACATAAGTATTAATCACCACCATTAATATTAAAGGGAATTTTAAAGATCCAGAAGCTGGCTTCTGCATTTGCTCAATTATACTTTTTTTTAATTATTATACTTTTAATGGTAGTGTACTTTAATTGCAATAAATTAATAGGTGATCATTTTCAAGAAAATGTACTTTATGGTGTGATGTTCCATGTTATCAGATGCCTATAGCTAATACAGTGTGGTGTGTAGGAATTATTTTGGTTGTTTGAATGACATATGATTATGTTGGTAAAGACTGAGCTTTGGAAGGGTTTTTGAAGACCATGTAGGTTCAACCCAAAGAAGGGAGGCTTATGAATTACCCAAAATTTGAGAAGCAGCCAACTTGAGAAACTATCTTGGTATTCTAGCAGCCCTACTGTTATCCAGAAAGTTTTGAGAAACCTTTTTCAAATTGTTTTCAAAAAGTTATTTTGAATCTCACAAGAAGGTAAGTAGAGAGTCTTTATAGTCACAACTTAATTTGTACCGCAAGTTCTCAGGTAAGTTTCCCATACCTTTGGTCCAGTTGAGTTTGGGCAAATCCAACCTCAACAGACAAAAGTGTACCTCAGAGAAGGTTATTTTTAAAAGGGTATTCCAGGACTTCCCTCGTGGCACAGTGGTTAAGACTCCGCCTGCCAGTGCAGGGGACACGGGTTCGAGCCCTGGTCCAGGAAGATCCCACATGCCGCGGAGCGACTAAGCCCGTGCACCACAACTACTGAGCCTGCTCTCTAGAGCCCAGAGCCACAACTACTGAAGCCCGCGTGCCACAACTACTGAAGCCCACACACCTAGAGCCTGTGCTCCACAACAAGAAAAGCCACCACAGTGAGAAGCCCGCGCACCACAACCAAGAGTAGCCCCCGCTTGCCGCAACTAGAGAAAGCCCGCGCACGGCAACAAAGACCCAGTGCAGCCAAAAATAAAATAATAAATAAATAAATAAATTTTTTTTAAAAAAGAAATGAGTTTAAAATTTCTTTCCTATAAAGTATTAATGATAGTAATCATTAGTTTGGGTGTGTTATCTAAGAGAACAACTAAGATCTCTAACTTTGTCATAAATTTGTTAGAAGCTCTTATTCTCAATTCTGGGTAGTGAGGAAAAATGGAGGGTTTTTTTGTTTGTTTTTGGTGGATTAATTACTGCAATTGCCTATGTAAAGTTGCTTCGTCATGTTAGAGCTTAATTAGAAAATTGAGGCTGCTTTTACCCCTCTCAATAACCACAACATTTGGAAGCAAAAGGAGTAGTGGAAATGTTTTTTCCATTTTCAACAGTTACAGGGTGAAAGTGGATGATATTTTCAGGTTAAGAAAGTACAGTGTGTAAAGTAAGTATTCTATATTTGCATACACAGCTTATGTTGTAGAAGTAATTCATTTAGGATAGGCAATTTTTATCATAGTTTACAAATTATAGTTACCTGAAAAATTGAATCCTGAAGTCTTTATAGGAAACCTAACAACATTTTATGTTTTAGAAGTTGGTCATGTGGGCTACATAGCATGAATTGTTGAAGTTTTTTATGCAAAAATATTTTTGTTTTGTGCGGTCATAAGTAATTTTGAGTAAAGTTCATTGTTTTCTTTGGAGGAAAATAACGAAGATGAACTAACATAGCTGTAGTAAGCAGGTGGCCTAGTGTAGTATAGTAATTTATACATGTTAGTTTTGAAACCTTTAAAAAAAAATTGTTAGGCTTAAGCCCAGCATGTAAAACAGATAAAATAGAGCTGCTTCTGGTTGAGACAGAGATGCAGGGCTGGAGTTTGAAAACCACTGGTGTGGTGAAAAAAGTCCATGCACACAGCCTTGTGATTAAGATAGCCCCATACTTACTAGCAGTGGCACCCAAAGTTGCTTAGTTTATCAGAGCCACAGTTTTCCTCATCTGTAAAATGGGGATTAATAACTACCTCATTCGGTTGCTGCAAACCACTAGCCCAGGCAGAAATAGGGCCTCGTTATTTTCTTACTCTCCATAAGTTCCAAACCTAAATCCTTACTATTATTTCATTGGAATCCTTAAAAAAAGACCTGGGATTGGCGGGGCGGGGTGTTTCAAATGCTGCACACTCCCAAGAATATATACTTTTAAATAGACTCTCAGGCTGATGGTGAATTGGCTTTGCACCTTGATAGATACAGGCTCTCACATAATAGAATTGGTAAGAATTTAACAGGATTGCTAAAAGCATTCTTGTTTCCAACTCCAAAATTATTGATACTTTCAGATTTAATCTGTTTAGCATTAGGGTAGGGTGGCAAGCTTCTGAAAAGAAATTCATTTCTGCTTTTACCTAAGTATTAAATCAAGTGTTTAGAACTAGTGTGTATACTTTATACTTAAGTTTTAGAAATTATGGAGAGGAAGGAAACTAATGAGGCCTTACTTCTGCCAGTGTTAGGATGCTTCTAGTCTTGGAAGGCAGAGTGAATTTCTTAATGGAAGGTAGTTCAATGACTTGCTTGCTGCTGCAAAATTTCATGTAACTTGTGTAGTTTATATAATAGTTATATATGTGTGCGTGTGTATATATTTACTATCAAAGAAATACCTGCCTTGGACATTCTTTCACATATCTTATCTCTAGGCTTTATGATTATGGCTCAGAAATGGAGGGAACTGGGACGTAAATGTTTTGAGGAATAAAATGAATATTGTTAGTGAAGCTTATGTAAGTATCTGATTAGTTTCTAACATCACTAAAGTCTCTATCAGGTCACAGAGTGTTGGAAGCCAGTTTATAAAGGAGGTAGAATACTGCTACTCTGGTTGCAGTGGAGAGGAGTCCTTTCTTGCTCCACCCGTGCTTTTCCCCACCCTGAATTTAATGTCCAGTGTGAAAATAGGTAGATACTGATAAAATTCATAAGCTCTAGGTTAGTAGGAAAGCTGTACAATCTGTAAAATCCTTAATAAAGTTTCCTTTTTTTCTTGTGAAGTATAAAGACTTTTAAATAGCTAATTTGGATTTGCGAAAAATAAAGGCTTAATTTCAGAAGTTATGCAGTGTTTTTTCAAAATCTAAAACTGTCTCCATACTCTTTTTCTAAATGCTTTCTTCTAGCCTTTATGCTAGCAGATACTTCACCATGGTTTGTGGTGTTCTTTTAGTTTGTCTTAATGAGATGGTAGGTGTATTTCTCTTCTCTTAGGGATACAGTTTGAATTCCCATGTGCAAACATCCCACTTGGGTGGGCAGAGAGCTTAAGCCCTAGCCAAGGCTCTGCCATTGAGGCCAGTAAGGCAGCTAGCTTCCTTTCTGTGTTAGTACCTTTCCAGCATGTGCATTAAACCCATAGTGTTTTAAGAGCTGCAGAAAAGTCCCAGGGATCTGAAGTTGTTATAAGGGTTATCCTGTAATTAACAATGGTTTTTCTAATTCGTTCTTGTTTGCTCTTTTCCTGAATTACAGTTCCTCCTCCCCCACCCCCTATATCTTTGTCTAATCACCGGTGTAATCACTTTGTTTAGCACACATTGTATTAGCATTAACATTTTTTAAACTTTAAAAAGAATACATACAAAAGGGCAAAATAATTGCATATGTGAAGAATGTGGTAAATAAATTTGGAAAAACACGTCTCGTTTAAAAGTAACTCAAGTTTGATATTAACCCTATATTAACTATGTATTTCATGTTCATAAATGGTTTTCACCTTAATATCACACAGCTTTATATGCTGAATATAGCCAATAATTTTTATTGGAGTATAGTTGATTTACAGTGTTGTTAGAATTTTCTTTTTTAGGATAATGGAGGGAGCCGTGTTACAGATTACAAAGAAATAATGGGGCCCAGTTGTGATTTTGTATTTGCATCAAGAAAAGCAGTGACGCTGGTTCTTGAGCCTCCTCTCTTTCTGTGGTCATTGTTTGTTGCTTGACTTCTTTTCCTTTTGGTCTTTTAAAACTTGTGAATGGGTATTTCTAAAAGTGTACTGCCCACCCCGCTCCCCAGTGGGTAGAAATGGATTTAGGTTTCTAATGAAAAGAGAAAATCTGTTGACTGGGAAGTGTGCCTTTTCAAACAAGACTTGGGAAAACTAATTTTGAAGCAAGATAGGTTGCTTCCCTTCCCTCCAAAGAATCTCCTTATAATAGGAAACTACTATGAGTAGGATTTGACATCACAACATTCTATACATAGAAGCATATATCATAGTAACAGCCAAGAAGTACTGAGTTAGCCTCCATGGTCTGGCTCTACCCACCTGCCTCTGCAGTGCCAGAGGAGTGGGAAGAGGGAAGTCCCTTCGGAAATTAGATGTGCCCCTGATTCTTGGACCAAGTGACTATTCTTTGCCACTGGGGGTGAAGCCACAGTGTGGCAGTTTTCCTTGATGAATTTACTAAAGTTTAGGATCTTGTCCTTTTAGGCT